TACCAGTGCAAACTTTGCAATCGGACCTTTGCAAGCAAGCATGCGGTTAAACTTCACCTCAGCAAAACACACGGGAAATCGCCAGAAGACCACCTTCTGTACGTTTCCGAGCTAGAGAAGCAGTAGCATTTGCTTTCGATTAAAATGCCTGTCATTTGCTTTGAGGGAAACTGTTGCAGGCACCTGAAGGCCCCTCTGTCTTGTTCTTGGCACATGTTCTTATTTTAACTGCAGAGAATCACTCTGGGCTGGACTGTTTTGTATAACTGTACAGTGTTTAATAGAGGTGCGTCATCAGCTGTGGTTACTGGTAAAATATGAAGGTTAAAACGCGGTGGTAAGTGTTTGGAACTTTGTGTAAATGGGATTTAGTTGTGAGCATCCCCCGATGCTTCAAGCTGCATGCATTAACAGACAGTTTAATTAAGCATTTATGACGAAATCGGGCACACTTTTCCACGCGGCTCGAGTGTGCTGGCATTTTTCACCCTTTCATCTTTAGCCCTCTGAGTACTTTGAAGCACTTTTGCATTAATTTGATTAAAAAGAATAAAGTAAAATAATAATAATGTATGAAGCTCTGTTTTTTAAACTCCTTACCAGCTTAGTTATAATTAATAATATGAACCTCCATTTATGCAGGTCTGCAGGGGGTATAACACGCCTTGAAATTTAAAAGAATATTATTTTCACATTGAAACATAGATGTATATATTGTATAGATTTCAGACTCTCTTATGAAAAATGTGATTGTGGTTAAATGACCTTTTTTTCCTGCATTTATAGCAACAGTGTTTTATGTACCTGCTATGCTCTGGGCATAAGCTGTGCCTATGTACAGTGTATATTTCTTTTCTTTTTTTTTAAGGTCTATGGGTTTTGTTTTTTACATGCAAACATTGTAAATTATACAGAAGATACCACAGATAGCATTTATAAAGTATACAGAAACATTATCTGAAAGCAAAGTATGATTGTTTGTTTTGCTATACAGTACATCTATATTGATAGAAGTTCATGTTTAAATTATACATATTTATTAGTGTCATATTATCATTTGTTTTGAGCAGTCTGAATAAATGAGGCCAGGAAATACATCCATGGCAGGCATCATAACTATTTTGCACATGATTTTTAAACGTATTTATTAGAAATCAAAAAAAAAAAAAAACAAACCAACGCTCAAAATAAACTCAGTGCTCAAAGGGTTAAGTCTATTTGCAAAGGAAAAAAAAAGAACAAAAAAAAAAGAGAGAGAGAGAGAGAGAGAACTTGTACTGTATTTCCTAAACATTGATAAAGCCTTTAAAATGTTTGTACTGTAATACTTTGCTTAAAAGTCACGAGGCATTCTGCGATACAACCTCTTTGACTTATTTATAAGCCCTCTTGGTTGCTATTCCATATTATAGGATGCCTTTTTATTTCAATTGGTAACTTTCTGTTTTGTTCTTCCTAATTATCCTCCCAAGATCCCACACTGCAGCTTTATCTTTAGGCTTATGAAAGGTAACCCGTGGTTACCGGCTCTCCAAGTGATTCTGTTCTTCTCCATTTTTGGCAGTTAATTTGCAGAAGTAACTGACAGCTGACACCATATGAGAACCTATGTATAAAATATTGGCATGTAAACAGCACAGACACTGTAACACACTCTGTGCCCTGTTCTGTTGTTGACAATGAACCACCATTATGTGACTCTTCATATAACCCTCTTTTCTACGGCAGCATTAAAATTGTCTTTTTGCTATAATTTTGTGTTGCGTTCACAATTATGTCTGAAATGTGCTACGACTAACGAGCACATTAAAATTAAATTGTATGCGATCTGTTTATGACTGAGTTGGTTGCTGTGTCTGCCAGGTGCTGGCAGTCAGAAACCGCCCGTAAATCAGGGGAGCTTTAGTGAACTTTGGCGTTTGGAGAGCAGCAAGCACTCACTCAGAGGCGGCGTGGACAGAATTTCCCCCAAGAATAAAAATGTAAAAGAAAGGAAGATGGTCCCAGGAGGTTAGCTTCTCTCTGGGAAGGCGCTGTTATCAAATACGGGGAGCGGGGCTTCGGTCACACCCAGTGACCTGCCTGGGGGCCAGATCAGAGAAGTCCACATCGGGATTCTGAGTCCTGCCCGAGGCAGATGGGAGGAAAGGTTTGGGGCAGACTCTGTGCAGGGCGATGCCTTCTTGTTGTTTCGGGATTTTCAAGGATCAGAAAGCAGAGCCCAGCTGGGCAGGTGGGCTTTGGGGTCCCCACTCTCTCTCCTGCGCTAAAGCAACCACTGATAACGAGGTGCAGGGGGAGCGGGGAGCCTGAACCCATCCACGGGAGGAGTGGGGAGAGCATTTATATGATAATCACAAGCTTTTATTAGCCCTGGCAAATCATGCCAACAAAACGCTGGGAACATCATGTAAAATTGTAAAATACCTTTATTACTATATTCAAACTACTCGTGCGGTTATGTGGAATCGTAGCTCCTAACCTAGAATTATACAAATGAGAGATGTATCACATCCGTGTAATATATAAAACACCTCCACGTTAAAAAAAATAGTCTTTTATTGAAAATTTAAATTAAGCCCTTTCAGAGACGTTCGGCTACACGCCTACTTTTTTTTTTTTCCGTTCATCTCCACCCCTTTTTGTCAAGATGAGGCCAAAATTTCTGTCTGCTCTACTTTGTCTCGGCAATCCATCTCTCGCCGGGTTTTTAGAGGGAAACTCACTAGAGTTTAAAACAGGTTTTTGGCAAGAAGGGAACTCCGCGCTGGCTCTGCCCTCGCCTTGTGGCGGTACATGGTTGGGCTGTGCCCTCCGGAGGTGCAGAAAGGGCTTCTGGCCTCACCCCCTCCCCGGCTCCTCCCTGGTGGCTGCTGCGGTCCTTCTGAGAGCACTTCTTAGCCCCGTCCACCCTTACCTGGGAGGAGGCCTGGGACACCATCCGTGTCCCTGGGGGACTGGCTCCTCCTAGAACCTGGCTCAGGGGACGGAGACACCCTCCCTCCCCGTGCCTTCCGCATATTCACATCCTGAAGCCCAGATTTCCACTCTTGAATTTTTCACAGGTTAAATATAGCATCGGTTTATTAGAATCCAAAGTCCTGCATCTAACAGATTAAACTGACAACACTTCCATCACCACCAGGGCCCATGTGGCTTGAAGGGAGATGGGATTCGTGGAAGTGATTGTGGGAACCCCCACCCCCCTTTACAGTTTGGGAGAAGAACCTGACGCCTGGCCCATCTCCTCTTCACCCCACTCCTGGGATTAGCTTTAGAACTTCAATTTGGGTGTAGAAATGAGGATTTATCACCAAGGTAGGTAGCAGGTTATGTGGCTCACTCCCCATCCCTCTGCCGCCCAGGCCCATAGCCAGGAAAGGATGGCTCATAGTAATGGGGCCCAGGAATTAATTTTACCTCTAGAGGAAACACAGTAACTGGGCAGCTGAGGGCCCTAGTCATGCATGCAAATCTGACCTGGCACAACCACAGTTCCCCAACCATGCATCATGGCAGGGAAGGGGCTGGCTTGGGCCTCACCCCACTTGCAAATGCAGGGCCAGGTATCCCAGGGGTCATCGAACCCTCTCCGGCCTGGAGGGTGGGCTGCTGTCCACAAGCACCTTCCATTCACAGTCCAGAATGGCCCAGAGTTTCCTGAGATAAATCGGGAAGCCCTTCCAAGTCCAATGTCGTTGTATACTAGTTTTCCTGTTGTCAACAGAGACTGTGAGTGTGGGAAGCAATGGGTCACCCGACTCCACTCTTTAAATGAGTCCAGGGAGGAGGAGGGATGGTGCCAAGGGAGGGAGGTTTTAATCACAGGTGTGTAGGTGACCCCGACCTCACCCTGCCCAAGCCCAGGCCTCCTGCAGCCCCTGCTGTAGATCTTGCGGCCATCACATTTACGCAGTATCTTAAAATAACATTTGTGATAAATGTGCAATTTAACTAATTTATGGTGCTGTGATGTGCTCAGGGCTACATGCAAGATGAAAATCTTAAATGGGGCTTGAACAGCTCACTTCACAACAAGAAATCAATATGCCACATCTTAGCTACTCGCTGCCGTCAACATTCAGCAAAAATATCAGTGATGTATCTTTAAGTTTTAGGCAGCAAGAATTCTATAATTAACCCAAATCTTCCATAGTTAAAGAGGGTTGATGGTGATGAAGACCCAGATCTCCCTGGCATTTTCATTCTGCAAAAAGGAAAAAAAATATGTGTATATTGATAACCACCAAAGAGGCTGTCCTCTGTCGGGGATTATTGAAGAGCTCAGGTGGAGGTGGTTAGCTCTCTGGAAGGCCTTCCCCAGCAGCCATCAGGTCTGTGGTCTCTGCAGGTCTGGAAAGATCACTTCTCTCAAATTCAGACCACTCCAGCTAGGTGGACCGTACTGCCCCCACCCCCTGACCACCTCTTGTTTCACAGACCTGGTGACTGAATCCTTAAAAAGGGAAAAAAAAAAAAAAAAAGGAAACCTACGTTAACCTCGCCAGGAATATTGGGGAGGGAAGAGCTCAGAAGGCAGAAACCTAACGAA